AAAAAAAAAAAAAAAACCTCTGGAGCAGAGCGCGATTGCCAGATTTTATTCCTGCGAAAGCCATGTGATTGAAACCAGGCCAGATGTGTCATGTCTCCCGCGAATGTAATCGAAAGCCAGTTGTTCACGTATGATCAGTCCATGCAATCAAGGAGATGTTCGCTGTGATTAGTTAAAATGTAATCCGATAATTTGATTAAGTTTAACGAAACGGTGAATGAAACCGCTCTGTACAAAAAGTTTTTTCTCGCGGCTTCGCCGCTCTTGCCGGTGGTCTTTGGCTGCAGCGAGGTATTTTCGTCCGCTGAAAGCCCTCGGGTAACCAGGGTAAGTGACCGAGTGATCGAGAAAACACGGGAACGAGGGACTGAGTGACCAAGTAACCAGGTGACTGAGAAATTAAGTGACTGTGATTGATGACTGCTGCCTGAAAGATGGGTCACTGGTTTCAAGTCAAGTTAAATGCAATTAAATCCAATATTGTTATTCTGTTTAAGACAATGAAGCACCTTCGTTTCGCGACACGTGTCCACCTGAACAAAGTGTTTTCGCGGATGAGGGGAAAACTTCAGCCACAGTGACCTGGGGACTAGTTACAGCTACAGATAATGATCAAGCTAGTGTTAATATGTCTCCGAAAATGACGTCACCACACGTGTTTTCTGAGGGAAATCATACCGTGATCTACACTGCTACAGATCCGTCCGGAAACACGAATCTCTGCTACTTCCAAGTTACCGTTCAAGGTTAGAAACAAAAAATTATAGTTGGGCAGCTATATCTCTTGTTATATTTGTTAATCCAAGCTAAAATGTTCCCTGGTTATAAAACTCGGCGTCCTGCTTTGCGTTGACATGTTATTTTGATCTCGTGATGTGTCAAGTGATCATTTTGTTAAAAAAATTGATAACTGAGCGAATTGATGACAAAATTTCATTTTAATGATCAACGCTTTCAATGATTTTCCTTACTTTCGTTTTTAGAAGACATAAATGATGAAAAGTCGAATTTTGTGGAAAAAAACAACCTTTGAGCCTTTAAAATTGCAAAAAGAGGGATGGTCATTCTAAACGCGAGAGTGTGTAAATAACTGACCTGCACCTAAAGCGCATTCTTTTTGGATGATATTACTAAAAACTGCCACCAAATCCTCAGACAATGGCTATTTTCCGCTAAACGTCACGTGATATGTCACGTGACTTGTCAGACGCACCAATTCTGCTTAAAAATGTTCAGGACGTTAAAAAACTAACTGTGCGCTAAATTTGGTTCCATCGCCATTTATGCCTTCAGAAATATAACTAATACATTTTTTCAACCCTTTAAAAGCCTTTGACCCAGGCCTTAAACTGCTTGAGTTATTAAACGTCGTAATTAATTGCTTCTAAAATCGAATGCCCTAAGACGGCCAATTCACATCATCACGTTTCCTTTTTAGCTCTTCGATGTTCTGTGTTGTCGGCCCTGCAAACGGCAGATTGGAGAATGTGGCCTGTGGAAATGTCTATGGAAGTGTGTGCCGATTGGTATGTTACAAGGGATATGAATTGAGAGGATCTGTTGAGAGAAAGTGCGACAAAATAGCAGGGACAAATGTGGTCCAATGGACAGGAAATACAACTTCATGTTTAAGTAAGTTACCAAGGTTATGTCTTGTGGCAGGTAATGCAAAACCATGCAGCACAATTAAGAGAGTTTGCATGGAACACACACTTTGATGCTACAGTTTTGATGCTACAGTTGGATTCTGAACAATTTCAGCTCTTTTCACTAGCTGCTTCGCAAAATTAAGAAAAAAGGCTCAGAAGATTGTTTGCTTATTACTCACCCACTTTTCCCCCACTTTTCCTCAGTTTTCCAGTAACGAAGAGTGATATCTTTATACCCATTTTCCTTTTCGATATTACGAGAATGATGGACGACCGCGCAACCTTTAACCCTGAGCCCATCGCGCCTCCAATCTCCCACCTCCCTTGTTTGACTGAAAAATTACTTCGCTGTGATTGACTGGAGGAGTAGACCGATTTATCGTCAATTTGTAATTTGCATTATACTGCAGATTGATGCAGAAGCGTGGGTAATTTCCTCAGACATATAAAAGTGGGTAATCCTAAGAAAGCTCGACCAATTAGGGATTTATACCATTCATGGTATTTAAAATAATTTTCAGGCAAATCTCGAATTCCCACGTCATCTATTCAAAATCTCTGCAAGTTGAACGGACAATAAAAAGCTAAGGGACGTTAGTTGATTCAGTCAGTAAATAAGAGACAACTTGAAATGATTAGTACTGAAACGCTGGCCGTATAACTGGTTTGTAAAAGTCTATCCCAAACGTGATTTTCAACCTTTCTCTAGCAAAACTGACTCATAGTTCCGGAAGCGATTAGGAGTATTTCTACTCCCCCTGGATGGGATGCTAGTCCATTGCCCTTTACTCTCTAGAATTCCGTCAGGTTGCCATAACACAATAATTCGCCGGTACTCATTTTATGTTCCTGAATGCAGAGAGGAACTGTGACAGTAAAGTGTCCTGGCAAGGGCTTAAACTCAGATCTTTCGAACTGAAGGTCCAGCGTAATAGCTGTAAGCCCCCCACCTCCATCCAAGGGGCTACTCCCTTACATGGGCTATGCAGCTATGTGCAGCACCGAAGAGTATGGTTTTTCAGCCGTTCTGGTCATAAATAGGGTATCGATTTTGGCCATTTTGGTCATAAATAGGGTATAGGGTTTTGCACTCTAGTCTTGAATTGACACTGTTTTTAACGTCGGTCTGATCTAGGAAGCAAATTACATATAGAGCAGGTCTGAGACAGGGTGTTCATTAAAGGGTCAGGTCATATATAAGATATCGAATTTTTGGCCAGGTCATAAATAGGGTAAAGAAAATCCTATATTTTGGTCATAAATAGGGCACGGGTTTTGGGAAGCGGGCCGCACGCCCCCACCCAATTTTTCAGGGAGTACCCCCTCGGGCTATTAGACCACCACTCCCCCAAAAAAGAGGAGCCGTTCTTTACTTATTGTGTTTATTCTTGCTTTCTATATGTAGCTCTGGCACTTTCTCATCAATGATCTGATTTTTTGCCGTAGCTATCCGCTGTCCATCTCTCAATACTCCCGATCACGCCATTCAGTCTGGGAACGGCTGCGGTGGTCCTAACTCAAGTTACAGCACATCCTGCTTTTTTAGTTGCATGTTGGGATATGAGGCTGTTGGGGGATCACAGAAAAGAACTTGTCTGGAATCAAGAGAGTGGAGTGGAACCGAAATTCAGTGCAAACGTAAGGAGAGTGTTTTTTACGTACATTTATGACTGAGCAACAGAATTGCTCGTTTTCAACGATGTAGATCTAAAAAAAAAAAAAAAAAAAANAAAGAAAGAAAGAAAGAAAAAGAAAAAAAATATATTGTTAAAAGCAGATTCAAAAAGCGAAAAGCGAAGTTTTTTTTTTAACTGTTGTTTGTTTTCATTAACCTTTCTACTATTTGTTTTTGCCGAATATCAAATCTTCTTAGGTTACAATCTCAGCCACTTGATCAATATTACTTGTTCTCAGTGTGAAGATTTACCACCTTTTGTGGATCAGCGATGTATCTATCTGAAATAAATTAAACAATCTCCTCTCCATTTTCAATCTTTTCGAACTTACATTCCTGTTGGTTTGTTATTTGACAGTTACCTTTACAGGCCAAAATTAACTAACAAGAGCTATTGACAAATTTTGATGTTATCAGGCTTCCAGGCTTAAGATGTCTCATTGTGACTTAGAGCGGTTTTCAACTCAGTGTCGTTATACCAGAACCAAACCAATTACTTGGGTTTAAGTTTTTGTTTAATGAATTCGTCGTGAATGATAGTATACAATGAGTCAGAAAATCTAAGTTAAAATAAAGCTGTGACGGGGGAAAGAAACAGAACTTGCGTGCCAATTGCCCTCTGACCCCCTAATACTACAAAAAAAGTAAAAAAAAAAAAAACAACTAATAATTACTTATCAACTAGACGCTTTGCTGCGTGCACCCAGGCAGTCGTTATACTGAGAAGCACTAGCTAAATTGCAGTTGAGCTAAATGTTCTGCATTTGAAGTCGTACGAAATTCAATCGAATCGATGTGCTCAAGATATTCTGCCTTTGATTGCATTTCTTGGAATCGACTAATAGCTTGATACTCGTTTGCAGGCCTTTAGGGCGTGAATTGAGTCAAGGCCTTTATATCAGCCTATAAACGTTTCAGTTTATTTTCCTTAGCCTTTGTCGTCATCGTCATCGTCGTTGTTGTTGTTATTGTTTCTTTTTTTCTTTTTTTGCGTTTCCCAAGCGAGCGAGACACTGAATTTCAGAATTATGGTGCTGCGCGACACAGAGCTACGAACGCGTTTGTCGAAAAAACATATACTTATCTCGTGAGTTTTAGCCCATTCAAAAGTTAAAGTATTAGAAAAAGGGCTCATGGAAATGCTTGTTTGTTCAGTACAGATAATCAGTCGCCTAGATAGCAAACGTAAGTTCCAGATGTTTACACTATTTTCCCGCCGCAATGTTGGTGTACCGCGGAGGTTTGGGAGAACATACGGACTTAAAAATTAGAGAAGTGCATCTTTATTAATCTCCTATAACATCACAATTTCTTGACTTTATCCACAAAATGGTTTTCGAATAATCTTTTTTTATTGCGTCAGGATTGCGTGACAGTGCAAGCCAATAATTGTTTTGCTGGGGTCAACATACATTAGTTTCTTTCAGCTTAAATGTACAATAATTCGCTATATGGGTGTTATTCTTGTAAAGACACATAACTATGTTACAAGAAAATAACGAGAGAATATCGTTTAGCTCAAGATTTTAACTTTATTATACTTTACGAAGTTTCTCAGAGCATTTTACTTTGGTGTACTCGAACAGATACATTGGTAAACAAATTCTCTAACCTGTTCTTGCTGCTTGGACGTTCTTGAGTTCGTGCTAGGATTCTACTTGGTTCACGATCACGTCTAAAAATACGATGACGCTTCTGAAGATATTATTTATCAAATTGAAGAGCTGATAGCCCCGGTTGATAGCTCCTTTGGTATCACATGATTCTTGATAAATTCACTCAAAATGTTCGCTCGTAAATTGATCTCTCGTAGGGATTGCAGACCGACCTGTTCCGAAAACGCATAACGTCCTTTAGTGTTGGTCTACCGCAAACGATGTGTTCGTTTGTATGTGATATCATCGCCCTAGAAATCATAAAATCCGTGCTAACTTTTCACGACGACAACTTCTCCAAATCACGGGTGACGCATGCGCCTTAGAGACCAGATGGCGATTTGTGACTGAACGAAAGAAAAACAAAAAAAGAGAGAGCCGAAATTTAAACCCAGGCTTCACTGTCGGGTAATTAGACTACTTAGCCATCCTTAAAACGTAGTAAGACAAAAACCAAAACCAAAGTAGTTGACCGATTACTTTCCACACCTAACTGAAAACCACTGTATTTGGTGTAAGACTTATAAGCTGTGTTTTGTTCCCTTACAGCAATCACCTGTCGTCCAATTACCATTCCATCGGAAGGACTGGACATAACCCCCTCATTCTGCACTAATGTAAGCGCTGTCATTCATTACGCAACGGATTGCCGATTCACGTGCATGAGCGGGTATCAACACCATGGACCTGGTCTGAAGACTTGTAACCAGCAGAAGACCTGGTCTCCACTAGGAAATCCTTGGTGCAAAGGTGAGCCGCTAACTTTACGAAACTCAACTTACGACATAGGAAGACGTATTATGAAGCGTAATGTTTCAAACGCAGAGCTTTATCAAGCGAATTATGAAGCCTTTAATATTAGAGAAATTTAACATGATAAGTTGTGGTTGAATGAAATGTGTTTAAAATGCCGGAAAGAGCGCAAGCTGGAGAAATCTTCTTGAGAGTTATATTTCTCAGGTATTTAAGTTATTTAGATTTCAATTTATTTCTTCTTAGCTAGAAAGAACGTGTTGTTGTTGTTGTTGTTGTTGTTGTTGTTCATGACGATAATGATGAGGTGAAGGACGACGAGGGGAGGAGAAGGTAGAGGAAGAAAAAGAAGAGCTCGAAGGAGAGGAAGTGGTAATGTTTTTGTTGATGCTGTTTATGATGCCGATCAGGCTTTATTAATCTTAGTTATAACAGTCAAGGCTGATTAACGGCGTCTTTTTCTTATTTTAAAGAATATATCATTTTCGTTTACAGATGTCTCAGCACCATTGTTCTCAAACTGTCCATCAAATATTGGAGCTACCGCTGACAGGGGTACAAAGTCCACACAAGTCACGTGGTCTCACCCTAGAGCTGCAGACAACTCTGGCTTCATTCCCAACATAACACACTATGGGAAACTACCTGGGGACACTTTCCCCGCTGGGGAACACAACATCCGGTACTTGGCCTCAGACAAAACAGGGAACGTTGCCGAATGCAAATTCAAGGTCTTCGTTTTAGGTAATTTGCGCATGCCCCATCCCCTTCCCCCTCCATCCCTACGCAGAGATTGGAATGGACTCTATAATCGAGAATATTTGTTTCAAATATCTGATTAATCATATAACAGTTTGATTGTGATCGAGCCATTTAAATGTCAGCTCTGAACTGATCAGCCCTACCTATTAAATAGCTTGTCAGTGACGTGTTTTAAAAGAATGTATGTACAGCTCCGTTGAGGGTTTTTAGGGGGTTCTTTTACCACTGAAAGCTGAATTAGGAAGATTTTAAAACATTTGCTCTTGTCTTTATATTCCATGCCATTAATCAGTTAAATAGAGGATATTATATTGCAGCGCGAAGATACGAAATTTCCGTTCACGTGTTGGAAAATATATATTTTTGTCAAAACGAGAAGAGAAATTGTGTCTCTCCAAGCAGCCATGTAATGTTCTATTTACTATATAAACGCCAATGAAATACCACATAATTTGCCTTTTTTTGTGAAAGGCGCTTTTGTTATGCAACCATAGCAACAGTGATCTTTTCTCGTATGACATAACACGCGTAAAGATATCATGCTTTCGCGCGAAAGCTCTTTAAGTATATCATTCGTGTTCAGGTACTAAATAACGTTTTCAAATTTGAATTTTGCACTATTGTTGCCTTTTTTAGTAGTCCGATGCCTGCCTACGTTGTATGCTCCAGCTGGCGGCGCCTTACAGTGTACCAAAGACAATCAGTACGGGTCAGAATGCTCCTTCGCTTGTCACGATGGTTACACCATCAATGGCTCAGGCCGCAAAGTTTGCGAGAAAGATCCAGTTACATCAAAGGGGGTGTGGACAGGCAATGAGACAAAATGTGAAGGTATGTAATTAACATAATTTTGGAGCTGATGTCAGAACCCATATTTTTTTTTTTTGTTGTTTTTTTTTGTTATGTACGCTGTGTATTTTGGCAAAAAGAAAAATATAAAGGAAAATAAAATAGCGATTCACGATATTCACTTGTTAGAATTACCTAATTTGCTGTTTTTTTTTAACGACCTTCGTAATAAATCCTGATTAAGTAATTGACATTTCTACGCACGTTGGTCTTTGTGCCGAGTAAAGAAGCGTTATTCTCTATTTCTTCAGTAAATAACTTTGATTTTCCATGCCATAAGGAATTGCAACTAGAACCATCGTCGTTTACAGCGAAGCCGAAAGCACCGGCTTGAAAATAAATGGTTTACAGCCTTCTGCAATATTAATAGCAGCTGACATCGTAGTGGCTCATATTTTCGGTATTATTAAATTATTATTAAAAGGTAATATTTTTAACTCTAAGCGCACAGAGTAATAGGTTATTCAGTTAAACGTAAATTATTTTTTTCCTCATCATTTTGTTCAGGTGTGCTCGACTCGAGTTGATCTTTCTAGCTCGTAAGTCTTTCAAGTGCACAAAGTAATAGGTCGCCTTATTTTATCTTCTCTTAGTGGCTAAGTGTACTCGACTCGTTCCACCACCTCACAGCATTCAGTCTGGCTGCGGAGGCAGTTCCTTGTACAACGTGTTTGGTGATAAATGTCTTTTATATTGCGCCCGTGGCTACCGCCGGGTTAACGGCTCGACGGAGACGGTCTGTCTAGCAAATGGCACCTGGTCTGGCGAGGAACCGTACTGTCAAGGTAGAGAAAGAAGTACAAAGCATAAATAGTTGCAACTAGGTTTTACAAACTACAGTTACGTTGATGGGTAACAGATCAAACTTTCTTGATACCTGGAAATTGGTCTTCATATCTCAGTCAAATGTCGTTAGCGGACCAAAAGTGCATGGAAGCTGGATTGGCTTGCATTCGCTTTATGTTTTTGCTCGTTTTTTGTTTGTTTGTTTGTTTGTTTGTTTGTTTTGTTTAGTCTTTGACAGCTAGTTATAGAAACTAGCAAACGGAAAAAAAAAAAAAAAAAAAAA